GAGCCTTGTTGGGCGATGCATACTGGGTGGTTGGAGTCGGTGGGACTAGAGAAACCAGAGATTGGAGACTGACTGTAGGTGATATGGGTGAGAACCGATGTCAGTAGTGCAGATGTTTCCCCACACATATTATCTTCATCTTAACGAAGCTATACCGAATCTCACCATTTTCTCATTCTTCCTTTCTCTCTTTTAGCACTTTATGTTTCTTTTGACTGAATTTTATTATTTAGAAGGATGGGTGGATTGAAGGACGAGTGTAAGACGTCTGAATGAATCTCTGGAACACTAAATCCAAGAATATCAGGTAGCCTTCAAACCTGATCGTGAATGTATACACTAGTTATTGACCTTCCTGCAGGTTCTAGGACACAGGCACACTCACTGATGCTATGTACTGGTTGGATTTCTTGACATGAAGACAGTATTTGACTCGGTCTTTAGAGAGGTCTTATGACAGTGTCTCTCACTGAAATGAGTAGCAGATAATGATATCATTGTGTTGAAGGCTCTGTACTCGAACACGCGTCAGCGTGTTGCAGCCTATGATGAGTTGTGCACTTGGAGTGGTGTCCATCAACGTCGTCTACTCCATTTTTACTAAACTTTGTCATGGACTTATTTTTGGAGATCTCTCCCTTGTAGTTTGACTTTATGAGGATTGATCTTATCAATGGTGATGAATTTGTCGATGGGTATCTGGTCACCGTCTGTGTCGTCGTCGCACAATGTCAGCTGATTTATGTTTCGTCTGGAAAAGGGTTAAAAGTGATCACTATTTAACCTGACATCTTTGATTGTTACTTTGAGCTGTGTCGAGGAGATGCAGACTTTCCGTTTGGTGTCCGTGTGACATGAGAAACCAGTTGTTTGAGACTTTAGATGGCATAGCTCAGAATGGATGTCAGTATCTCAGATATATCTATACATTATCCTCATCTTAAAATTCATACCGAATCCAGTATCCTCTTATTTGACTTTCAACCACTTTGACTGGTTTCTTGTTCGATGTACTGAGATGTAGTGTGTCAATTTGGGCTGCTACACAATAACGCCTGCTTCTTTGTTGATCTTGTTTGTCTGCTAACCCAGGAATGTTAAGAGGTAAATCGAGTTTACCTTACTGCAGTCCATTCTGTCATATTTTTTTGACTGTGAGGTGACGTTGAAATTTGTTGTACGTAGATTATAAGTTTTCGAACACAGGTGTCATATTAATATTACTCATGTATGATTTAATGACAGTATGAACAATTTTGAGGTCAGATTAAGTGTGTACTAGGCAAGAAAAAGTGCAAATCAGTGAATGAGATTGTAAACCTTCACCGACTGATCCACTTCCCACCTCAACGTGCATTGTTAGCAGAAGTTCGAATTAGATTGAAAAAAGGTTGAGGGTGACCAGATCAAGGCATGATACCAATGAGTGAGGCCTCTGACTATTGGTCTAAGCCATGTAAAGAGGTTATATGTATGAGAACCTTGAATTTATCCTATTGGTTACAATATTTTTCTTTTGAACAGCGTGATTTTAAACTGATGTCTTAAACTTTTATTTGTACCGATAACGTCTAGTCGACATGTGAAGATGGTGATTTAGTGTTCGTATCAGCGGAGAGGAAGACATTAAAAGGTGAAATGTTTGACACTGAATAATGTTAAATAGTTGAAAGTGGTCACTACAGGACCCTAGACATATTATTTAGTACCTGTTAGCATTCATCAATAAAGCGTATCTGAAACCTCAGAGAAACGTATGTCCCCATGAAGTTTTTCATTTTGCCACTAATCTCGTGTAGGATTTGATTAGATACTTTGTTTGATCATTGAAGAGTAGGCAGTTTCATCCGAAATTAATCAACAGTCTGTACGTATCGTCTCGACAATCACACTAGGGTAGTGAACTAACAGTTGAAATATTCACAGGCTGGTACAACTTCCTGGTTTGATCACTCTCAGTCTTTTGCAGGCCCATCTAATTTAGACTAACGTCCCAAGAATAGCCATGTGGTGCCTCGATAGGCTGAACATTTATCCAGGCCACCTCAGTCGTTGAAAGTTGACAACTCCATAGACTAACTCACCTTCCTTTCCTATTACCCTTCGACTAACCTAGACATCGTTAACGTGATGATTGCACCTCACATGAGAAATGTTACGAAGACATATATTGTCAAAAACCTGTTACCTGTTCATTCCCTCCACTCTCAGTGATTATTTATCACAGGCGTTTAATATAACAAACGAAGTGTAGCGCAGTATATTCCTTTAAACTAGGAGTAGGCTTACACCAGTCCAAAAGTATTAACCTACATTGTATGAGAAATAATGATGCTACTACCTGGCTACCTGAACTTCTGTAGGTAGAACGAGGCTCAAACCAAATGACTCATTGGTTAAAAGTCATCTTCTTAACAAAATTATTCAAAACTACCACCGGAACTGCCTGGCTGGTTTCATAAATCGAATTGCAAAGCTACGCTTCACATTATGATAGAACAGAGCATAGAATAACAGAATGCCAACTCTTTACCTCAACTTCATCGACTTTGAAAAGACCTTCGATAGCGTCGACCGAGAAGTAATTCGATAGGCAGCTGCTTCAACACTACAGTTTCAGCGCCACAAACCTTTATCAACCTCATTGTGAACAGCAGCTATGTGCTATATGATGAGGCTACGTGCCAACTGATTGACAATGGAAAGCTGAGTGATGCCTTTTACGTGTAGTGAAGACAGGAAGTAGTAAGACAAGGTTGTCGCCTACTACCACCGATGATCTTCCTGATCGTGGTCGACTGGACTGGACTGAAGTGGACTGGATGATGCAAGAAACTGTGAGGAGCTGTGCGAAGATGGGGATACGCTTGCTGGATGGATGAAGAGACCCTAGAAGAAGATTTGTATTTCGCCAACGATGATGATTTCTGTCTAACGTCTTATGTTGCAGAAACTCGAAGATCTGTAGACGAAGACCAACAAGTTGACAGAAGAGGTGAGGTGAGGTGAGGCAGCTTAGAGGGGACCTTGTTCGGATGAACGAACATAGATAAGACAGAGGTGATGAAGATACCCAATCAACACAATAACAGCAACAAAACAGGCACCGATCACCATGAACGGGAAAAACCTAAAGGAAGTTGTCTTTTTCATCCACCTATCGAGGCAGCATCGCTTCAACTACAGGCGGCGGCACAAGCCCAGATAAGGGTGTCAAAGCAGCCAGGATCGGAAAAACAGCAAGACAGGCCTTCCTTCACTAATCTTAAATCAGTGTGGAGATCTACTGTAACACACTACACTGCACTTAGCATAAAGCGTGAACGACATCCGGATTTTCAACACTAATTCAGTCAAGTAAGTCAGTGCTTCTATGTTATGGTAGAGAGACGGCATCTTACGAATAGTATTTGCCACAAACTTCAGACATACATGAACAGCTGCCGCCTGCATTCACTCGATATTGAAGATTGGATCAGAAGGCCAGAAAGAATAATCAAGGAGGAACTCTATCCTGGAACCGAACCAAGAAACCATCACCCAACAAGTATGCAGAAGCAGAAAGTGGAGATGCATTGGATTGGATTGACATAAACTGAGAAGACACTTTGAGGACACTACCCGCAAGGTCAGGTCGTAAAAAATGGAAGCGAAATGAGGAGCGACGAGTTGGTCGTCTGAGTGTGACATAGAGGAGACGGTGTGAAGTAGAAATGAAAGGTTATGTTTAGTCGTGGAGCCAGGTTAGAAAAAGAAGACTGGAGACAAGAGAGTGAAAAGGCCATGTGGTAGTGAAGTCATATGTTTCACTAGGAACCCACGGGACAAATAATTGTAATAAATTTGTAAGCGTATCAAACACTGATACAAATATGGTACACCTTGCACTAAAACCGTCATTTGCAAAATATACTCCGTTTCTTCTTCTGCGTCTCTCTTGATTTGCTCTTCATACACTCTTATCAACAATATCCGCTGTAATACGCCTGCTTTATCCCTTGCATAGCTCTTGGCAGATTTCTTATCCATTGCTGGTAATTCTGTATGATTTCTGCTAACCTCTCAACATATACTACTTATATCCATTCTCATCAGCGACACCTACTACAAAGGTAGTAGTATTGAGCGTACTTAAAAACTATAGATGTGGGAAGAATTTTGCGTGGATATGATTTCTTTTTTAATCCTTACCAATGTCTTTGTAAGCATATGTAGAGAAATACTCAGGAACTTTGATCAAACAATATTTCCCTCAATATGGTAATTCACGTTTTATTGAAATTCATGCAAGACAAAGTACTGTTGATCAGTTATTTTTTAGTTTACAGTATTTATGTGTTTTCGTTAGGTACCATTGAAGAATTATTATTGCTTGAGAAGGAGAAAAATGCGTCTTTTTTCACACGTCATATATATATACTTTATTGTTTCATATAAACAGTCAGGCATGCAATTACTCACATTGAATTGCTGATTGATAAAGGGGTGTGATAATAGGTTTATACTTGATTACTTCTAGTTAAATTAGCCTTCTAGTAATGATGGATAGTGTGGCGCTAGCAGTGGAATTCAAGATTCGCATTTCATCCTACTTGGGATTCATCAGCTGAATGTGCCTGCCTTCTCAGTAAGTGATATTGTTCCCACTGAGATTTGGATTCGGGGAGCGATCACTTTAAACGCCAAAGTTTTATCCAGGTAGAAACAATATCACTCACTGGGGGAGGCAGGTACATTTATCCAGCGGACGAGTCCTAAATAGTATGAAATGCATATCCTGGATTCCACTGCTAGCCACTATCTGTCATTACTATATAGAACTAGAACATAGGTATTATTGAGGCATCCACACAAGAGCCTATATGCCAATAGAAACCGGTCAATTTGGTCCAATCAACGGCGGTATTATACAAAAACAATTATACTTGATAATAAGCCAAAAAAAAGTTATTTTATGTAATTTCTTTTTGAAAATCTCTTTTTTTTCGTATACACTTAAGGCGTTTTCAGCCAACAGTCAAAGTACCAGATACCCGTGGATGTTGCATAGCTAGTGTAGTACGTAATCAATGTAAAGGGATGAAGTATCTTTGTGGTGCTGTAGCTAAAGTATTTTTGTTATGGAATGGTATAATCCAAGGAATACATTTATTGAAGTGAAACGAGTAAGTTTTATCACTATGCTATTTTTTACGTATAAACACTCTTCAATTGTCTGAATTTCTATAAGTTTCTTTAGCAATTAGATTGGTTTTATGGAGTAAGGTTGCTAGCCCTATGCCCAACCTTCCCTCTCTACACGGGCTTAGGAGCGGCTAGTGAACTAGTTAACCAGGCGAGGTTTCACCAATGAGGATTTATGTCTAATGTCGCACAAACTCGAAGATCTACAGGCTAAAACTAACAAGTTGACAGACGAGGCAGCGAAAACGGGACTTCAAGTGAATGTAAAGAAGACAAAGGTGATGAAGATATTCAACCAACAACAGCATCAACAACGAGAACTAATCACCATGAACGGGAGAAACTTAAAGGAAGTAGCCTCCCTCACCTACCTAGGCAGCATCGTTTGAACTACAGGTGGCACAGATGAAGATGTCAAAGCAGTTAGGATCGTAAAAAGAGATAGGCCTTCATTAACTTGAAACCAGTGTGGCGATCCTCTGCACTCAGCATAAAGCATGAACAAGATCCGGATTTTCAACACCAACGTTATGGTTCAGAAACTTGTCTTGTCATGAAAAGCAATTCCAACAAACTACAGATATTTATCAACAACTGCCTATGCTGTCTCGTTACTGAAGCTCAGATGGCCAGAATAACAAGAATAAGCAACAAGGAATTCTGGGAACGAACCAACCAAGAACCTATCGGCCAACAAATATGCAGAGTAAGAAAGTGGAGATGGATTGGGCATACACTGAGAAGACCATTCGGGACATCACACGCCGGGCCAGTTGCTCGAGTAGAACCGAGATGAGAAACTGCGAACTGGACGTCCGAGGCGAGGGTGACGTGGAGGAGATGGTGTGAGGAGGAAATGAGAGCTTGTGGGCAGTCGTGGAGCCAGGTCCAAAAGATTGCAAAGAAGTGAGTGCAATGGAGGTGCGCTACTGAATCCCTACGTTCCACTAGGAACCCAAGCGGGAAAAATAATATAATAGCATTATTGTTTATTGAATAAAGGAACTATGATAATATAGACAGGTAACAGTGGTTGGGTACAGTAAGGTATGTACCACTGTCATGAATAAGTGCTATCGAAAAAGAAAATCAATAATCCTGTAACAGTGGAATACCTGCTAAAGACTCTATTCAAACGAGTGAGAACACGCTGCAGTACAACAACTTCACGAAGAAACGAAGAAAATTACTTGATGTCCATCCTAAAGAAGAACGGCTATCCACGAAACTTTATCAGAAGATGCCTATCCCGTACATCATCAACTACAAAGTCATTGAAGGAATCAATAAACTCATCATCCTACCATACATAAAGAATGTATCAGAAATCACAACAAGATTACTGAAACCACTCGTGGCTCATAAACCAACAAATTCCGTCAAAACACTATTATGGAGACCAAAGGATGCAACAACCGAAGAAGCCAAACCGAATATCATTTACAAAATCAACTGCATTAACTGTAGTCAACACTATACTGGATAAAGTGGCCGCCCTCTTAGCCTTCATCTACATGAACACCAATTGACTATTGAACGTCACGACATCTCATCGCTGCTCATTTCAATGTACGTGATAACAATTATGGACATGAATTCAATTTTGACAATGTAGAAATGTTGAAGGGAGAGAGGAAACACAAAGAATATCAGAGAATTCCTACATGGTTGGCATTCAGATCAGTCAGTCAGCAATCAACAGATGTATAGATATAAACCCAATCTATCAACTAATGAGAAGAATGATAAACGGTAGAAAGTTCAGAGGTGAAGTAGAGGAACAGCCAACAGGAAAGTCTATATAGTCAGTCAATGACACAACAGTCGAAGGAAAAAACCAATCACAGACCACATCGTCAGAACAAGCCACTAAGTCACTCACGAAGAGATATTGACAGCTCACTTCATATTGAAGTTAGTGCTGATGATGTTGCTGTCTAACAAGAGGATGAAAGCTTCACGATTAAACAATAACCCAGCTGAGAGAACCCAACACAGTCATCACTATCCACCTGAGCTACAAATATTCTTCACTATTTCAAATATCATTGTATTATAACAAGGTAAATTACTCTCCAAAGAAATGTTCATTATTCAATACAACTGTCTGTATATAAATCATTCTAAAACATTGTAATTACATATGATTAAACCATAATAGCTGGTGAGATATTCTTAAATTTTATCCCTACTTTGTTTTTCGTTGCTTTAAATTGGTATCGTTTTCGCAGAATTGTTAAATATCAATAACGTGAACCGAAACGCTGTTGTGCATACAGCCTCACTAGCTCACTCACTGACTAGTATGAAATAGACATTACATAGAGTTTGGAGTCATAGTCAACAGTATCGGTTCATATTTGTGCAAAAGGTATTACTTTGTTTATAGACCTGCATATCATAGAAGAATAAAGGATTATACGAATAAGTAGCAAAAGTTTTTATCAATCATATTAAGAAGCTCAAAGTTTACATCTCATTTTTGTTGGGAATGATATGTGAAGCGGATCTTATAATCTTAAGGGAAATCTTATTTCATTAGATATCTGAGTGTAAGTCATCCTGTAACTGTGGTTAGAAAGTGTTTTGAATGATGACCAAATAGGATTGAACTGAAAAAGGGTTCAATGGAAGTGGAGCAGATCAAAACATGACACCAATCTATGAAGTTCCTTTCTGGTATCCTCAAGATTGTAGAAAAATAATGCTTGAAGACTGACTCTTGATGAGATGGCTGAATATCGGTTACAATAGGGCAGATGTATATTCACTCCTTGACATCTTCTAAAACTACTTCCATATTTACTTATTCTTTCTTATAACTTTGTCTAGTGTGATATCACTTTTTTTATCTACTTGTTGTTTGTAAACTTGGTTGTATTGTGTTCTCTGAGCTGGGTTGTTTAATCGTAAAGTTGTCATCATCTTTCTGGACGACATCATCAGCACTGACTTCAGTATGAAGTGAGCTGTCAGTATCTCTTCGTGAGTGGCTTAGTGGCTTGTTCTGACTATGTGGTCTGTGATTGGTTGTTTCCTTCGATTGTTGTGTCATTGACTGACTATATAGACTTTCCTGTTGGCTTTCCTTCTGTTTGACCTCTGACCTTTCTGCCGTTTATCATTCTTCTCATTAGTTGATATTATTATTATTATTATTATTTATTATTAGTCCCTTGGGTTCCTAATGGAACATAGGGCTTCAGTAGCACGTCTCCAGTGAACTCTGTTCGCCGAAATCTTTTGAACCTGGCTCCACGACAGCCCAGAAGCTCTCATTTCCTCCTCACATGATCTCCTCCATGTCATCCTCACCTCGGACGCCCAACTCGTCTCTTCCCATCTGGGTTCCACTCGAGCAACTGGCCTGTGGCGTGATGTCCCCAGTCGGCCTTCTCGGTGTGTTCCCAATCCATCTCCACTTCATTCTGCATATTTGTTGCGTGGTAGGTTCTTGGTTGGTTCGTTACCAGCCAGAACTCCTTGTTGCTTATTCTCATTATTCTGGCCATCTGATCTTCAGTAGCGAGCGTAAGTAGTTGTTGATGAATGTCTATAGTTTATTGGAAATGTATTTCGTAACGCGCCAAGTCTCTGAACCATACAGAAGCACTGACTTGACGTTGGTGTTGAAAATCCGTATCTTGTTCCTCATGCTGAGTGCAGAAGATCTCCACACTGGTTTCAGGCTAATGAACGTTTGTCTTGCTTTTCCGATTCTGACTTTAACATCCTCGTCTGTCCCGCCTGTAGTTGAAACAGCATTAGTTGATAGATTGGGTTTATATCTATACATCTATTGATTGCTGACTGACTTGAATGCCAAACTTCTACGAATTCTCTAATATTCTTTGTGTTTCCTCTCTCCCTCCAACATTTCTACATTGTCAAAATTGAATTCATGTCCATAATTGTTATCCACGTGCATTGAAATGAGTGACGAAATGTCGTGGCCTATAATAGCCGATTGGTGTTGATGTAGACGAAGGCGAAGAGAGCGGTCACTTTATCCAGTATAGTGTTGACTACAGTTAATGCAGTTGATTTTGTAAACTACTATAAAATGTAACACTTTGGACCGATGAACTTTTATCTGAGGTTTTACGTTGGTTTTTTCATCCTGAGTGGTTAATAACTACCTATCTGTACTTGAACGCTTCAACTAAACTTCATTTCATTTCTTCTCTAGACTTTCGCTCCTTCCATACACTTTTTTACTAAGTTATTTTATTCACTTTTTCTATATGTGTGATGCTGCTCAGTTTGACAACCTGAACTAAGGCGCTTGTGTGCTAGGTTCTCTACAGTGAATTGTCTGTCTGTTTTCGATACGCGAACGATCCTGCAAAGGTAGCTATGGTAGAAAATATATAGGCTTGTCATTTCTTCTACTTTCAACACCCATATCTGAAAAGCGACAGAACGAACTGCTTCACGGTATGCTTATTATTTAATATGCGATCAGGTACCTTACTAGCATCATAAGTCCCGTAGGCTTAAAAACAGTAGTCAGACCATTTCTATTTGGACCGAGTATCATCGCCCTACAGACTATGTCATCTACGTACTCTAAGTTAACTAAATCTTTTTCATGGAGTAGGTCAGTCAGTGAGAAGTCAAATGTACTTACGGCCATACTTAACAGTGCCTCTGTATGTGAATGATGATGGTAGATATACTTGGTAAACACCACTGGATATCGTCACTTCAAATTTCAACTCTCCTGAGACGTTGTATGAATTTGAGTAGAGAATCTTGATTAGCATTGCACACGTGTTCGATACAGCTGTTGATCGATGGAGTCGAATGTTGCCTTTAGGTCAATGAATACTGAAAGTGCTGAGTGCCAGTAGGCATTCTTGAGTTCCGAAGCCTGTCAAAGGGTGAGGATTCGATCGATGCACTACTATGTAGGTTTGAAACCCACCTAGTTTTCTCGAATTTTTTACTATCTCGACATCAGATGATTATGGTTGCTAAGATCTTGGATACGATGTTAACTTTAGAGATTTTGATGGTGTTCTCACTTGAGGCATTCTTTCCTGATGCGTAGGTCAGTGTATGATAGCACAACCACTCATTTTTCATGCGTTGTTGTGGTAGTTGGTTTACTGTACTCAGTAGTTTTCCACTTCCATTGAAACTATCAGGTCCTTAGGCGTGTTGAAACAGCTAGGGACAGATTGGAGCACATAGTATTCAGTAACTGAAGTGTTGTTGTAGATCAGTTGATTTATCCTTCAAAGTGTTCTGTTCAGTGTTCCAGTCATCTTACCTGAAAGGTTCTTAGTCTCAGTAATCAGTGTCATCTTTGGGTGTATTTTCCTTTAATCGGTTCTAATAAATGTCGAGTATTTCACATTAGGCTTGATATCTTCTACACCTGTTTCATCTTCGCCACATGCACTGCTTATCATGATAGCGAAAACTCTTAGTCACTTTTCTCCTCTTCTCATCAAGATCACAACCAATGGGAATAAATCTTCTTGTGTTATTCAATAATACACAGGTACTTCTATAGCAGACTGTATAATTTACTTTGGTAATATATATATATCGATACTCCAAATTAATAGAAGGGGATCGAATAGATACAATACAGGTTTCTCTCTTTCATATTCGTTGAATTCACTTGTATTGTATTTAGAAGAGTAACAATAGTTGTTTGTTTTTACAAGTTCTTCTTCCTTTTTTTTTAGGTTGAAGTACCGTGTATGCCTAATCCAGTATTGAATTTTGATTTGATTATCAATCCAGATCAAAATCTACCTATTGTATGCTTAGGTGTATCATCTACACCTGATCCACTTGTTTATAAGTTACATCTTGTCAATTTAAATGAAGAGTCGAACTCTTCTTGGTATTCAAATCCTTGTCAATGTAAGTCATTTCTAGTTTTTTTTTTCTGTAAACTATTATTATATTTATTTATTTATCCCTTGGGTTCCTGATGGAACATAGGGATTCAGTAGCATCTCTCTAGTACACTCTGTTCTCTGCAAACTTTTGAACCTGGCTCCACGACTGCCCAGAAGCTCTCATTTCCTCCTCGCACGATCTCCTCCATGTCACCCTCACCTCGGACGCCCAACTCGCCGTTTCCCATCTGAATTCCACTCGAGCAACTGGCCTGTGGCGTGATGTCCCCAGTCGGCCTTCTCGGTGTGTTCCCAATCCATCTCCACTTCATTCTGCATATTTGTTGCGTGGTAGGTTCTTGGTTGGTTCGTTACCAGCCAGAATTCCTTGTTGCTTATTCTCATTATTCTGGCCATCTGATCTTCAGTAACGAGCGTAGGCTCTGTAAACTATAATTAAGTGTAAATAGAATGGTTTAGTACTGCCTTCGTATGGAAAGTTACAACTCCACAATGGCTAAGACACTTAAATTTCACCTACTATTGTTGTTGGTATACTTTCTCTTGTGGTTTGTTGTTGTTGTAAGAGTTGTTGACTTTAAACCAATAGGTCGAAGACTCGAATCCCGCTCCACCTACCGAGATTTGCGCAGTTAGACAGTAGTATCACTAGCTCTCACACAACAGGTGTGGCTTATTACCTCCTATGCGAATCTGCACAAGGTTACTCAATGGATTTCGATTCGAGTATCACTAGATACTACACGTTAGGTGCTTTCGCGACCTCTTTATGGATATGTGTGTGCGTGTATCCGTGTCCCATCACCTGATAAACACAAGTCTTATGAGACTAATTTCAACCGTAATGATCATTTCACTTAGATGTGTAATTCATCGTGGGAGTATTCGCTAGTCTATGTATGTTACACCTTTGTTTACCAGTGGGTTATAGTTCACACTGATGGACTGACATCAATTGAAGGGACATTAGAAACCTGGGAGCACTGGACACCCAGATGTTTCGTCCGACTGGTACGGGACTCTTCAGCAGTGCACACCCACGACCCCACCAGCGATGGGATCCGTGACCTTCAGGTTTCGTGGCCAGCACGTCACCACTGAGCTAGCCGCTGGGTTGAAATCCAGTGGTCCATATTTCCAAGTTTGGTCAGTTCATGTGCTGACCACAAAACCCTAAGATCGTAGATTCGATCCCTGGCGGGGTCATGGGTCCACACTGCTGAAGAGTTTTTTACCAGTCAAGTGAAACAGCTTTCCAGTGCTCCTAGGTTTTGAATGTTCCTCTAACTGATGTCAGTTCATGATGAATACTAGGTTAAAAATATCTTGCTTCTTGGCACTCGTCATCAAGGCGTATCTGCAACCTTTAGGGAACTGATGTTCCGCTTGAGATTCAAACCCTCATACATTGATTGGTTAACCAGTCATGTGTTTCACTCTGATTTATTTTGGCATTCAAAAATACCTTTGAAGTTTGTTAAGTAGGCTGGTAAAAGGAGAAGGTGCTTTTTATTATCCGACTACAGTTGGAATTTATCCTATAATTTCAGCTTTTTTTAAAATAAAATGATGTACATTACAACTGTAAACACTTGCCTTATTTCTGTGCAAATGAACTACTTTATCATTACTATAATCTAAAGGCGTCCGCACAGGAGCCCATATGCCAATTCCGTCCAATCAACGACCGGATAATAGAAGCAACAATACACCCGCCGCACAAGAAATGGGTATCTTGGCTCAGTGGTCCAGTGGATTACCCTCTGGCTTTCGAAGTGATTGTACTCCTGAGTCCGAATCTCGGTGGGAACAACATCACTCACTGAGAGATAGGTGCATCCGGCTGATGAGTCCCAAATAGGACGAAATGCAAATTTTCAGTTCCACTGTTAGCGGCACACTATCCATCATTACTATACTTTATTGTACGTCGGGGGGTTGTGTAACGCCAATACATATTGATGTTGCTTAATACTACTGACACATAGAAACATATATACACACACACACACGCACACACACACAGGGCATGTAACAGTCACTTTTTGGTTGCACATTGCATTTCAACACAAGCCGGATTAATTTTATTCTGAGGACAATTTCTTATATTTAACAGTAGTAGTAGTAGTAGTTACCTGATATCTCACTCATCCAGGACATGAAATTATGCTAGTCATTTGTATGACTCTATGTATGTGAAATATTGATGAGAAATATTCACTTTAAAAGAAGAATAAAGGAGAAATCGATAAGTTGTAAACTCTTCTTTAAATAATCTACCATGATGAGTATACAAGTTAACCAGTTGACAGTTTATATACAATTCAATCAAAAACCAATTGGGGGGGGGGGGGAGAGTTGGTGAATATCATTCAGTTACTGAGCTCCACTCATCATGATTAAATAAGGGACAAATCCGGAAAAGAATAAGAGTCAGATAAACCCAATTAATGACTGAGTTAGGTCAAGTATATAGGTCAAACTATCCCGGTTGGCGGGGGACCAGTCAGATTAAGGGAATATAGGAATATACCTGTACATAGAACGACAAATGATGGATCATGGCTAGCAGTGGAATCTAAGACGCGCATTTCGTCCTATTTGGGACTCGTCAGCTGGATGACACTGCTTCCCAGTGAGTGATGTTGTTCCCAACGGGATTCGGACCCGGGAGCGGTCGCTTCAAGCGCCAGCGCGTTATCCACTACACCACCAAGCCACGATAGCCACTTCTTGTAAGACGGGTAAGATGAATAATCTAGAGAGTAACTCGCCTATTGCATTCCATGCATGTATATGTGAACACACAGCCACACACAATAGGGTGGGATAAAGCCACTCTACTCAAGTCGAATATAGTTAGGTGGAGAGAGAGAGAGAGAGAGAGAGAGGAGAATGCTGACTGAATCTTTGTTCATCGAATCAACACTCACCCAACACCTTTAAATAGGAATGATACTAGTAAGTACTACAAACAAATAACATGAGGTGATAGGACTATGAAAAGGAGATATCGAAAGGGTTGTGATTACAATCATATGATTGTGATCAATGATAATTTATGCTGAAAACATCATCATAATCAAGTAAATAATACTGTTGTATTACTGTGTGCCAGTTATGTCAAATAAACAAATCTAATATGGAATTACAATACAGATTGTTAGAAAGAAGGGGGTGTAAGCGTAGCTCTACTTTATGTTACATGCTATGAGTCAAATTAACAATATGAGAGCTATGATAATTCTTCACTGCCTATTCTGAAGTAGGTGAAATATACTTTGAAGCTGAGACCCGTGAAGTGAAATTCGATGGGTGGATTCAATGAACGGCACCCTCAGTGATTCAATTGAAAATCATGTTGTTGTCTTGGTGCTGTGAAATCGTCCACAATCGTCCGTCTTTTGTTGAGTCAGCTTTAAAACCTTGGAATGTTTCGCTTAGTGTGTGTGTGTGTCACCTCTGAGCTATTGGCTCGGAATTCATTGTCAGTCAATTATTTCATAATGCACTGTATGATTGATTATCTTCCTATATCATTAATTTCTATTTGTTGTTATGAGTTAGTTGATTGAGAAAGGGTTACAGTTTCTCACTAGAGTGTTAGGTAGACGGCATTATTATTCAGCATTTGACTTCTTTGAGACATTTTATTGATTTTATACCACACTGAGTAAACAAATAGCGTATCTTGATGTTTCTCAGGGGAATCCAGGACACGCATTCCGTCCTATTTCGTGCGTAGACTGTGTGTACCCCTCCCTCCCAACCTACGATGCTTCAGTTAGACTGAAAATTATCTTCGAAGGAGTGTGATTATTAATATAACTGTAAAACTTGGGCACTGTGGTGGAATTTAATTCCATACCATTATTATTTATTTATTTGTCTATTTATTTATTTATTATTTGTCCCTTGGGTTCCTAGTGGAACATAAGGATTCAGTAGCACATCTCCAGTGAACTCTGTTCTCTGCAAACTTTTGAACCTGGCTCCACGACTGTCCAGAAGCTCTCATTTCCTCCTCGCATGACCTCCTCCATGTCACCCTCACCTCGGACGCCCAACTCGTCTCTTCCCATCTGGGTTCCACTTGAGCAACTGGCCTGTAGCGTGATGTCCCCAGTCGGCCTTCTCAGTGTGTGCCCAATCCATCTCCACTTCATTCTGCATATTTGTTGTTCTTGGTTGGTTCGTTGCCAGCCAGAGTTCCTTGTTGCTTCAGTAACGAGCTAGCGTAGGCAGTTGTTGACGAATGTCTGTAGTTTGTTGGAAATCCATTTCATAATGCGCCAAGTCTCTGAGCCATACAGAAGCACTGACTTGACTTTGGTGTTGAAAATCCGGATGTTGTTCACACTTTATGCTGAGTGCAGAAGATCTCCACACTGGTTTCAGGCTAATGAACTCCTGTCTTACTTTTCCGATCCTGGTTTTGACGTCATCGTCTATGCCTGTGTCGCCTGTAGTTGAAATAGTGCTGCTTGCCTAGAGAGTTGAAGGAGGCTACTTTCTTTAAGTTTCTCCCGTTGATGGTGATAGGAGCTTGTTGTTGTTGTTGTTGGTGGTGTGGTATCTTCATCACCTCTGTCTTCTCTATATTCACTTCAAGTCCCATCTTCCCTGCCTTTTCTATCAACATTGTTAGTTTTCGCCTGTAGATCTTCAAGTTTGTGCAACATCAGACACAAGTCATCGACGAAATCCAAGTCTTCAAGGTTCTTTTCCGCGCTCCAGCGATATTAACACAGTGATATTGTATAAATTACTTGATGATGACGTTTTGAGCATAAATTATTTATTGTTCATAATCATAATCCTGAAACTTGAAAACTGTGGATATAATATACAGACAAACAGAAAGAGTAGTAACAATGGGATCGTCAATATCCCTAATCGTAGGAAATATATTTATGGATAGCTGGTAAAACATGGCTTTACAAACAAAGGTTTAGTTCTACACCCAAAATATGGTGGCGATATGTGGATAACACATTGTTT